TCTCTCTCTCTCTCTCTCTCTCTCTCTCTCTCTCTCTCTCTCTCTCTCTCTTTATTTTCTTCTTTTATATTTCGATATCGATTCAAATAAAATCGCAATCGAGGTAACAAAGTTTGTATTCAGTGTCGATGGAAATGTTTCCCGATCGCGCAATAATACATAATATTCTAATTCTATTCTATTCTATTCTATTCGCGCTATAATACGCGCTATAATATTCTAATTCTATTCTAATAGATTGCCATGTGCACTTGAATAAAGTAGAAAGATACTTATAACTAACTAATATAGATGTTTATTCTCGTGATATGACGCTGCGATAAATTCGATTTTGACGAGAGAAAACCTACCGTTAAATTTTTCATGCTGCTAGCCAAGACACACATATCCCGTGTTGATCGGATGTTGGCAAAAATCATATTCTTCAAAGATTCGTCGAATCTCACGTTCGCCCCACTGTGGAATATAACTGACACTCTGTCAATTAGCATTTGTCTATCTGCCGGCATCAATGCTAAGCCTTCAACAGATATATCTCCTGCTACAGGAACAAGTTTTTCAAAACTGGATGGTCGCTCATTCCGTAGTTTATCGAACAGCTATAACAGAAACTGACGATTATTAAGAGGCAATGGGTTCATTCAACAGAAATAATTGTTTTGTAACTGTTGTAAAATTTGTGAATCTTATGAATTCTTTCTCCTAATCTTGGATGAACTTAAGGGCATATCCAATTCAATTCATAAATTTTATAACAGTTGCAAAGCAGAACAAAAGCTGATATCTCTCATTGTTCGTTGCAATTTTTTTCGTTGTTACTTTACGAAGTCTCGAGGTTCAGAAAAATGTGAAAATTTAAAAGATTGAGTAATTTGAGAGATCAAAACAAATTTATCAGACAAACACGTATGCGCTCACAGGACTGCTAGATTTTCATTAACACGTTCTAACGGTTTATTTAGAAAACTTTCTCCATAAATTATATCAATGTTTTTCTTGTGTTACGTAATTGTGTAAGATGGACTTAGTTTGATAATGTGGACATAAAAAAAATTGTTGTTGTTGTCACATACATATATAACAGTAGCCTTTAGTGAGAGATTGTTGCATACATTGTTGCATACATGTTGAGATTGTTGTCACACATATGACTTTAACGCGCACGATTTGTTCTGAATCTTATTACCTTATTAGTTAATAAATTTTTCAATCTATCATCGATTCCCATTCCTCTTTTAGGTCGCATTAGCAGAAATATCTCCTTGACATCGGGGCAGGATCTTAGTAGTTTTTCGACTAACACCTGTAAAACAATTTGTAAATGAGTATAAGGGATTATTAGCAGAATGACACTTTTTAATAAAATATTCAGATTTTACTTTCTCACAATACAGTCGTTTTCCGCTCGTCAACTCAACTTACACCATCTCTCTCCTCCATTCCTCCTACACTTGTGTCCCATATTCACTCTCTCAACCGCGACAAACATAAAAATGTCTTACATACCTTACCCATATAGCCTGTTGCACCTGTTATGAAAATGCTTCGACCGGCGAAGAAGCCCTGTATAGACGATTGCGCCGTATCCATCTTTATATTTGAGCAAACAGCGATGATAAATAAGTACAAGAAGAAGTAATCCCTTTCGGAGAAAAACGTAGGACAGAAGAGAACGTCGTAATGTTTTTCTCAAAAGGATTTTAATTGTTAAGAACGACCAGTTTGTGATTAAAGCACGAATAATATGACTTTCATATAAATAACACGACAGTCGAAGCGGCGAGAAAATTACGATGCTTCTTTCCTAACGACGAATAAATGTCTGATCGAATTTAAACGTTAAACACAAGGTCTCACTCGATGAAAATGATTTATTAAGTATAAATATTGTTCAAAGGACAAACTTTTGCATATTGATGCATTTCATTTCCATATCTCTTACACAGACGTTCTCTCTTTATCTCTCTTTTTTTTGTTTTCTTCTTCTATATTTTAATATCGAATAAAGTAATAATCGATAATAAAGTTTGTAGTCAGTGTCGATGGAAATGTTTCCCGGGCGTATAATGATACTTAATTTATTCTAATAGAATGCCGCACGTCTTACTATTTGAATGAAATACAAAAGGTCAGGATTAATTATTGAAATCCAGCATATCAGGATTAATAATTCAGTTATGTCACTCTACAGTCTATTTTGTTTGACGCAAGAAAATTTTCATGTCGGTTTTACCGTTGAGCAATTCTTCAATATGTAAGATTATTCTCGTGATATGATATTACGATTTTGATATTATGATAATTCGATTTTGACGAGAGAAAACCTACCATTAAATTTTTCATGCTGCTAGCCAAGATACACAAGTTCCGTGTTGATCGGATGTTGGCAAAAATCACATTCTTCAAAGATTTGTCGAAACTCACGTTCGCCGCGCTGTGAAATATAACTGACACTCGTCAACTCAACTTACACCATCTCTCTCATCCTACACTTGTGTCCCATATTCACTCTTTCAACCGCGACAAAAACAAACATAAAAATGTCTTACATACCTTACCCATATAGCCTGTTGCACCTGTTATGAAAATGCTTCGACCGGCGAAGAAGCCCTGTATATACGATTGCGCCGTATCCATCTTTATATTTGAGCAAACAGCGATGATAAATAAGTACAAGAAGAAGTAATCCCTTTCGGAGAAAAACGTAGGACAGAAGAGAACGTCGTAATGTTTTTCTCAAAAGGATTTTAATTGTTAAGAACGACCAGTTTGTGATTAAAGCACGAATAATATGACTTTCATATAAATAACACGACAGTCGATGCGGCGAGAAAATTACGGTACTTCTTTCCTAACGACGAAATTCTGATTGAATTCAAACGTTAAACACAAGGTCTCACTCGATGAAAATGACTTATTAAGTATAAATACTGTGCAAAGCACATAAACTTTTGCATATTGATGCATTTCATTTCCAAATCTCTTACGCAGAAGTTCACGTTCTCTCTTTCTCTTTCTTTTTCTGTTTTCTTCTTCTATGTTTTGATATCGAATAAAATCGGTAATAAAATTTATAGTCAGTGTCGATGGAAATGTTCTCCGGGCTTATAATTTTATCTAATTTATTCTAATAGAATGCTACGCGCCTTACCATTTGAATGAAATACAACAAGTCAGGATTAATTATTGAAATGCAGCATATCAAGATTAATAATTCAGTTATGTCAGTGTCTACAGTGTCAAAATCTACAGCCTATATCTGTTTGACACAAGAGAATTTTCATGTTGGTTGAACAATTCTTCAATATGCAAGATTATTCTCGTGATATGATACTACGATAAATTCGATTTTGACGAGAGAAAACCTATCGCTAAATTTCTTATACTGCTAGCTAAAGTACACATATGCAATGACACATATAAAACTAATTTGCGCCGAATAAGCGGAATCGACATATGAATATCGGAATAAGCACGATCGACGTATGAATATTCATTAATATCCACAATGTGTCTGTGCTCCATTTGCATTAAAGCAACTTTTTTTGTGGGAAAATGCTGTTGTTTTTTATTCTGTATAAGAATGCATGCACAAGAAAGTAAAAGCAATTCCTGCAACTTTCGGGTTAAATAACATGGTTTAATAGCAACATAATATAATGTAATGTAACGAGACATGATATATTCTTCGAGATGTATTTTCTTTGATTGTTTTAACATTGTAAAATTCTGGTTTAACCGTTCATATAAAAAGCTTGATATTTATTTTAATATAATCGGTTAATTTTTATAATTATATATTGATATAATATTAACTATCATAGTTGGGTTGTAAACCTAGGTGAAAATCAATTGTTACACAATGGTTCCGTAAATTGCCCCCATAAAAAGGATGGCGGCCAGCACTTTCACGATTCTGTCAATCCAAATCATTCTGAAAAGTAGCCGAAAATAAAAACAATTATATTGTTTCTTATTTGATCAAAGATTAAATATTCGTAAATCGGAAATCGAGTGAAATTGTATAATTTTATTTTTTACAAATCTCTTCTATATCAATCAAGCGTTAATAATCTGAAAAATTGAAATTCAATCTCTTTCACTCTCTCTCTGTTTTACGTACTCTATTTATTAAAAACCTACATATATCTAAATTATTTGCTAACTATTTGTTTAGCAATGTGAACGTTTAGGAGATGTCATTCTATTATTATCAGAGAATTGGCTCGTAGAGGAAACTTAGTCGATGAAGAAAATGCGTGATGTTCAGGACATTTTGTATTAAAAAAGTGTTTTCCGTAATCTCACCTGTTGTAGTGCAATTTCGCTGCATCCAGTCGATCCATACTTTCGTTAAGAAGATAGATCTTACTGCCAATTACGTTATTTCTATATAAAAGATGAGAGGGATGTCTTTATTCGTTCGCAAGATAACATCCGCTTCATTTGTTAATTAAAAAGATAACATTGTAAGTTTCTCACTTACTCCACATATGTTGTTTTGTCATAAACCAAGTCCGCGGTGTATCCAAAGTCTCGTTGATCGTCAATTGATAACTCATCTGACAAACTTGACATTTTTTCATTTCGAAACTCCCAGTTTTTCATTGTAAAGTAAGCGTAGGTACGATTGGTTATGAAAATATTTCTCTGCAGTTTCAGCAATCTGAAAATATAGGTATAGGTAAGGCCAAGTCATGTTGGCATAATCATAACATGACCCTTGGACCGACTTGGCTAATTGTGGCAAAAGAATTGCAAATTGTTTTACTTAAAATATAGGTACTTTCCATATATTTTAAAAGAAATATTTTATGATTCATTTTTCTGTCAAGGTTTCCGTCCTAATATATGTAAATGCGTAAACAAAGCGCACGTTAAACGTGAACTTCGGTCTAGTTCTGGTCTCATTACTTTTTTGAATGTTCAAAAGTTTTCACATCCTGCGTGATTAACAATTACATTCTCACTCATGCGTGCAAGATCGATTTATCAAAAAACGCAAGAAGTTTGGTTTGCACCTTGGTTGTCTGCCTGATAATCGTAGTAATCCATCAATAAAGCAGGATGGTATTACGATCAACACTATCATTAACAGTTGATACAAGGACGGATTCGTTATCATTATATGGCCGGGGGCCCAGATCATTCCTTCGTAAGGAATCTTCTTCGAAATAAGTGCAGCAATCTTAGACATCATTTTCCTCCCCGGTCTCATAGTGTGATTGCCCGTACAATTATACACTGCTGGAAGGTTGTCTTGCGTGTTGCTGACGGGAGTCCGAAATAATTTGTAAATTAATTACGCATTCGGCGAGAAATATTATATTATTAAAACTTCCCGTTGTTCTCTTAATTGGAACATTGTAGGGATTTTTACAACATAACGTTTGTTTAATATTATAGATCATACATCATTTTTGATCCATGTTTCGACGCTGCTACGATCAGAGCCTTGATGACGATATCGATCGGCACATAGTTGTCGAACGCAGATGGACTCTGGTGCAGCAATTTCAGTATTCCTTTTCCACTAGCGATATACATTGCTACTGGACCGTTAAAATTATCTAACCAGCCTTTCAAAGGGTCCTTTAACATTGGCGTGACTAGGCGAAACGTTAATATTCTGAGAATGCTTTTTTACAACAAACGTGTTGATGAAAATAAAGTCTTGTTAAAAGTTTTCATTAAAATCGTGTCAGTTTTTGAAAATGCGAAAACTGCGTAAAAACGATGCGTCTAAATACAATTCTCAAGGCAGCGCGAGGTAACATAATAATTTTTCAATTCAATTTTGTTGTAAAATGACAGATCTTACAATATCCAGAAAATTAAAGTCAGGATGACTTGACGATAATATGACTACATCTTATTGGAAAATGATAATTGTGTAAAGTTAAGAACTATTTAGATTCCACGAGATTGTACAGTTAAAAGTCAGATTAAAAAATCCCTCAGTAAAAACAACGTTGTAAGAATTGTATAAGAAGCTAAATATATATATATATATATATATATATATATATATATATATATATTTGCAATATATTCGTAGCAATATACCTATGGATGGTCTGCAAATTACGCACGGTAACGATCCCGAGTAATCAATTATCACTTGCTCCGCGAGTTTTTTGGAAAATATGTAGTGATTCGGTAACGTGCCTATATATCTGAAAATAAATCCACGTGAAAATGTCTTTGATTTGTTGGAAATACATTATAAATGTACTACGAGCGATTGTTTGGCGTGCATCCATTTATGAATTGAGTGATATTTGCAAAATCGCTCTTTCAACGATCATGTGTATCATAATTAAATAAAATTAATCAAAATTATTCGAACACACAGTCTTCGATGTACACAACATATTTAGCGTAGACATGAATGCTGGATTTGGCTCTAACTTAGATTTAAACAGCTCCACTAGGCCCTCATCTAAAGCTTCAACGACACGTATCGTTTTTTTCCAATCGACTTCTCCTGGATACACAATTTCATCAACGACTGGCTTGTCGACTTGTGTGTAAGCTGTGCTGATATGTATCAAAACCTCAAAAATATAAAATAAAACATGTAACAATTTTATAGCTGATATTTCTGTAATCAGAATTGCCGAGAGAAATTTCCAGTAGAAGAGAAACCAAGAGCGCAAGTTTGTTATGTTGCGCACATAAACACACACAAACTTGCACACTAAATATTCATGGCTGCTTACTGCCAAATTTTTCATTTGTTTGCTTAGAATGCAAATATCTCTCGTAGATCTCACGTTCGTGATCACAGCATCCCTCAGAGTATTGTCGAATTTCACGCTCGCTGCTCCATGGAATATTACAGACGTCTTCTCGATTAAGGTATCCCTGTCGGCAGCTGACAAACCCAAGCCTTCAAGGCCAAGATCACCTTCCACGGGAATCAATTTGTCAAAGCAGTGAGGTTGTTCGTGCCGTAGTGTATCAAATAACTGAAGCGAGCAACATGTACGTTATTAAAATAATACTTTGCGAGATTGCTAATCGCACCTACGAAAATTACCGGGTTCGTCAGCAGCTGTCGGAGCCTCTCATCTATGTTCGTATCGTTCTTCGCGCGCATTAACAAAAATATCTCTTTTATATTGGGACATGATCTCAACAACTTTTCTATCAACGCTTTTCCTAGAAATCCCGTAGCGCCCGTAATGAAAACACTTTTTCCGGAGTAGAAGGCCGGTACCGAGAGAGCCGGATACATTGCGTTCTTGCCTTTTCTTTGAATTAGTGTAAGCGATGTATAGAATATATTTATTAAATGCTTATTAGTGAGGAAAATAGAAAGTATACAAATCTTAACACGTGGTAACCGTACCTATAGATGTATACGAGATTGCAGATGGATCTGGCACAAGTACCAGTGTCGACAGACACGAAGTAATAATAATACATTGTATTTGTAACATTCGCCTATATCGTTCATAAATATGAAAATAATACTTTAACCTATAGGTCGTCGATTAATCGGTTTAGTTTTAATTTTCGGATGTTTCGTATAAATCTTACATAAATACAAGATAAATCCTGTATAAATCTGCAATATTTGTGTCTTGTGTGTATCGAATTATAATTTTTTCGTAAGAAAATTCTCATATTTTTCTTTAGGGCGTTTATGATGTTATACGTATTCTTTCGAATGCGAAAAATGTTATAATGTTATATATGTTTTACGTCTTATGTTGCTTATTGATAAGTATCGATTCTTAAATGTTTGTGTTGCTGGTTGATTACACAACTACATGAAATCTGATACGAAATCTGCTTAACCTTACTTGCAGAATTAATGAATCGTCGACGATTCAGTTGACATTTACAGAAACGTTTCGCATTACTAGTTGAAATGCAACAGTATTGTCTCTTTCTTTATAATGCAATACATTGTACGCTGCATTTAGTCTAATATACGTCATTTACTATAACAAGGTCTCTGTGAAAAATCTTTTATGGATTGTTCTTGAATTAAATGCAAATAATAAACAGTATTCTGCATATTCTGCATTATTCTGTGAACATAATGCAAGTCATAGAAGAAGTTAAAAATTCCAAAAGTCACGCTCACGGTGTGAAGTATAAATTGAAAACGTACGATGACTGTCACTATCGAAAATAATAGTCATTGTATAGCAGTCATTAAAAATAATTATTGATTGAGTAAATGTAATTCCATTCGGTTTAGGGGATCCGTCTGCTAAATCAGTTATTAATCTGTTTAAATTGTCGTAATACTTTCGGTCTTTTTATCAAAAATTTTTTGTTTACAGAGATTCTACTCGGAATAACGTTGAAGTAGCGAAAGATGTAACTACCGGAGCAGCTGCAAAAAAAACTAAAGATGATGAAACAATTAGAAGGACGACGAGAGTGGTGCTTTTTGAAAGCGAAACTCCTTCACTTTCCCTCTTAGTACCTGAGATCAAATACGATGAATATGAAGTAGATGAAGATGTACGAATTCCCGAAGCAAAGAAATCCACGCGTGTCTCATTATTAGTACGTCCTCGTTATATCTGTTGTTATTCAATAGAAAGTTAAATTTTACTGATAATTTTTAATTTATTATTTTTAGTAAAAAAGATGGGATAATTTATTGTTTTAAAATTAATTTTTAATATTGTATATTCCTTTTAATGTTCAATATTATTTTATATATATGAAATGACTAAGCCAATTGAAAGACTGTTCGACGTTTCAGTTAAATTTGACTTGATTGGTCTTTCAATATAATATTTACCACATATATAATCGTCGTTGTTTATGATTTCTCTCGAACGTTCTAGCATTTCTCACACTCTTATCATAGAAAGTGGCCGGTTTACCAACGAAGAAGATAATCGCACCGAACTGTCTGACTAGTCTAATATATATGTATATAAATACACTTGATCTTCTGACAATGTATACAAGTGATTTTAAATCGTAAATGCATTAATTGGAAAGTACAATTGTGTCTGGAAATTTTGACAGAATTAGTTGCGGCAGCTATTTATATTAATATCAATCCTATTAATATATCTTCTACAAATAAATTCTACAAATAAAATAGAAATTTCACTCTCACTGCAATGTCTATTGATTTGTTTCAGATACGCGAATGGGTTACGATACAGGTAATTTCATTTCTGTCCGTCATGCGTTTTAATGCCGCTACGCAAATGTTCTCTTTAAACTTATGTTACTACGTGTTGCACATACACTTGATTTCAGTACAATTTAAACACTTTCTTCTTGATGCACTTTGGAACGCAGCTGACAGGAAAACTTGGTTTTTAATCATTTCCAGAAATTATGGTGTCTCAACGAATAATTTGGTTTTTAATCATTTCCAGAAATTATGTTGTCTCAACGAATTTCCAGAACTTTTTTCAGTTCTCTCACTTGTAACCGCGTCGCGAAAAAAAGTGTCCAAATTATATTGAAATCAAGTGTACGTATTAGCACTATTCTGTAGAACTTATTAGTTTAATAATCTATTTTAACAGATTAATATACCAGCGTTATAAATTTCAGTATTTAGCATTGAAAATGCTGCGTTGAAAAAACGCATAAGAAAGACAAATGCTGCGTTAAATAAATGCATAAGAAAGACAATAGCAATATTCTGTTTTAATTTTTATTACATTGACGTAACAGTGCGAGACTGTAGGCTCTGAATGCCTTCGCTACGTTACAGATACAAGTGGTAGCACACTTCTCGCACGACGATTTCATTAAAGTGGGAGATCATTATACTTCGTTCGATTTAGACAAGGCCTACGAAAATCAAGAAGATGACGAAGAAATCGCGTAAAGCCCTAGAAAGAGAACAAGCGGCGTCCGCGGCCGCGGCCGCCGAAGCCGAGGAAATCAGGTAAAACGAAGCATAACGATAAAAAAAAAAAATATCGGCCGTATTGAATTTAATTTGCCTAGATTATATGGAATGATAAAGCACTAACGCACGAAAGATATCGTATCACGATGTCGACGCTTATAATCGTCTGCATTATTTTCGAAGTTTTGCGTCATTTATCCAGCGTATTAATTAAGCATTCATCCGAAGGGCGCGGATAATCAAAGATATGCATGAAGAGATCCGACGGGAGAAGTACAATGTAGAGAGACAAGTGTTGCTCGAAAAGAAAGAGACCGCGATGCGTGAGGTTCAATTGGAGAAGACTTGGCGTGCGTTTCAGGATCATGAAAGCGCGTTCATGGAATACGTAGCTGACTCTGAACAAGAGGAAAATGTAAAAACATCGCCCTCCTCTCTTTTATATACATATATTTATTTATCAGATAAATAATAACCAGACATAAAAAGAGCTTTTGACTCAATTTATCTTTGGGATACGTTCATATGGAGCTTTAATTCTCTGTTTTATTATGATAGATAAACTTTTCTCCGTACAATGTCAAGTTTCTACGAATTATATGTAGCGGGCTAATTATTTTCAGTGGATCAGGTATATGACTTGCGACGGATTGCCGGATCCCGGTAGCTTATCGGAGATGAATACTTTTGTGTTCTTGTGGTCTATGGGGGACAAGGAAATTAATATGAGCAACTTCACCAAGAAATACGACACTATTATCTATGTGCGTAAAGCTTTATGTACTTTATGTACTTATGTTGTTATTAACGTCTCTTAAACGCCATTACTTAATCGCTGACCGTGAAAGCGTACATATTGAACCATTAGACGCCCAGCTTTGATAAACACTATCTCTGAATTCGTATGGACAAGTATAATTAAACTTTTTCTCCAAAACCGTTTCTTTCTCCTCGTCAACCATGTGAGAATAACGATTGAATTTCTGTTCGCAGCTAATAACGAAACTAGACGAGATAGTGCGATTCTCTTTGATGAGATTACCCGATTATCTATCCGAGTGCAAAGTGGTAAGTAATCGCATTCGATTGAATAACAGCGCCTGTAAAGGGGTCGACGTTATTCCCGAGTCATGAGATGGTAACATTTAACAGATCCGGCAACGATTTCGGGACAAGCTGCAGGAATGGATGAATATGGCGTGCTACTCTCTGTTGCGGCAAATAGAGAGGGACATGGTCCGCGAAGACACGAAAACGGCCAGGTACAACAGCGTCTCGAAACACGTCAGTTGCTGCATCTGGGCTCTGATAAAATGGCCGATTAAGCTTAAGCAGCCCGCTGCCAAGGATCGGTACGTATCGTTTCAGTGTAACTGGATGCACATACGTCGAATAAATATCGTGATATTTAGCGTGGATATACGAGGTGTGATCAAAAAGTAAGGTGACTTTTTGAATTTCGCGCGGTCTGTACACTCTAATTTCAAAATTTTTTGTTGTTGTGTTGGTACACTCGTCACGATCATATGTTCACAGTTTTGACTATATAGCATGTGTTGTTTTTATGTGAGAGGCATAAAGGTTAGACTCGTGTTTGCGTGCTCGGCGATTTTTTGCTGTTGAAAATAATGGAGCAGAGAGTTTGTATTAATTTTTGTGTAAAAAATGGTATTAAGTGTTCAAAAACTCTTGAAATGTTGACAGTGGCGTACGGTGAGTCAACTTTGAGCAAAAAAAGTGTTTATAAATGGTATAAGTTATTCCAAGAGGGCCGAGAAAATGTTAACGATGAACCTCGCTCTGGACGCCCCAGCACGTCAAAAACCGACGAAAATGTTCAGGAAGTGAAAGAAATTGTGTTGAAAAATCGTCGAATCACGATTAGAGAAATAGCTGATGATCTTAACATATCGTTTGGCTCATGCCAATCAATTTTAACGGATGTTTTGGGTATGACACGTGTGTCAGCGAAATTCGTTCCAAAACTGCTTAATTTTGATCAGAAGCAGCGTCGCATGAACATCGCCCAAGACATGTTGAACGACGTCAATGATGATCCTGATTTGCTCAAAAGGGTTATAACTGGTGACGAAACATGGGTATATGGTTATGACGTCGAAACCAAAGCCCAAAGCCCATTAAGGCTGCATCGCTGGAGGAGCTCAAGGCAATACCCAAAAGTGCATTTCAGAAATGTTTTGACGACTGGAAAAAGCGCTGGCACAAGTGCATTGTATCAGAGGGGGATTATTTTGAAGGGGATAACATAATTTTGGATGAATAAATGAATATTTTTTTATAAAAATGAAAAGTCACCTTACTTTTTGATCACACCTCGTATATTTCTATTGACTTTGCTTTCGATGTCAATTTGTAAAGCCGAAATTGTCGTTATTCTGGCAGAATACCAATCGAGGTTCACTTCGAGGAAATGGAACTGACCGTCAAAATGCCCACAGACATCGATTGCTATTGTATGGCGATACGGATATTGTGGGTGAAGTATGATCATTACTCGGATCGCGCGGCCTCGTTCATGATGCCTGAATTATCGGATGAATGTGAAAGCGGCTATACTATGAGTAAGATAATTATTTCTTCATGAAGTTTACAAGTTATTTGCAGTAAACTCGTTGCCTTTGAGACATTCTTATAGTTGATTATCATGTCTAGAACACAAATCTTGTGTGATAATCGCGGAAATACGGGGAAAACTTTGTAGAGGATTATCAAGAAGAAAAAAATAAGTAAAATAGTTTACGAATTAAAAAATTATGAGTGAGAACTTCTAAAAATAAGGAAATCGAATAGATATTGCAAAAAAGTCTCCAAAATTCGTTGCTTTTTGCTGGTGCAATAATCAGAATCAATGACGAAAGGATTTCACCTATCGTCACTCGTCGCGGATGTTATCGATGCTCTCTATTCTCGCGAGGAAACGCGACCTGGATCCTTTTGCCGTGTATTTTTCAGACTTTCTCACCTACTGTCAAAGTGAATATAACGCGAAGTTGAAAATACGCGAGGAGCAGGCCGAAGGACGTCGCCTGCGGCTCGAGGAGAAGAAAGCCATACTCGAGAGGATGGAGCATCCGCCGGAACCGGAACTTACGAAACTCGACAGGAAGGGGAAGCAGCAAAAGAAACTGGGTGTGCAAGCGAAACCAGAACCGATACAGGAACCAGAACGTTTACCGTATCTGCCTACACCCGACGAGATTATTCTGCAAAGAGATGGTGCGATCCTCGACGCGGTCGGCGTATCTCTTGAAGTTACAAATTCGTGCTTCTAAAACATGTTGAAAACAGAGAGAAATACGTCAAGATCAACTTTATATCGCACTATAATTACAATCATTATGGTAATAGCAGAACCATCATCGTGATAAGTGTTAATATTTCTAGAGGAAACTAAGAAAGAGATTAGAAAGCTGCTGTTCACACGATGCGAGAAGACAGAGATCAATTTGCGCAAATATAGGATACTTGGTGGAGTGATACATATCGATTTAATTTATCAACCGCCACAACCCAAAGACATGGGGAGAGACGTTATGCTTACCACTCGTGAGACAATTTCTTATTAAATACGCGTTTTCTCGTCAAATACATTAAATTGTCCCTTTGCAGTACAAATTCCCAAAGAACTGAAATTCGTGCCGTTTTCGAAGCCGTACAAGGCACCACCTCCGGCGCCCGACTCCGAAAGAACACCGGAGGTGATCGAGGCGGAAATGAAAGCTCTGGAGACCGCGATGGAAGCCCTGGCGCTAGTAACTTTAAAGTACAATTCAGAAAAAAGTGCAATATATTTATAAATAATTCACACATCAAGTTATAGTCAAAAAGTCCCGTTCGATTTTTTAGTCAAACTTGAGTCTATTACATACAATGCAAATAAATGATTCGTCAATCGTGCAGTGGTCGTCGTTGTCTATAATTTATCGCTAACTTTGGACAGCACACTTATACCTCCATTGTAAAAAGTTGCAGCGGAGAAAGGCAGAAAATCGAGCCAAACTTTTCGACTAATCCAAAATTTGACACTTCAAACGTTTCGTTTTTACTTCTCACAAGCCACTAGCCGAAGACAGATCGATAAAGTTTGTCAAATTATGTGATGTACATCACGATCAATTGACAGTTATGTCTCTCAAATACTACTCAGATTACACCCAACTCTGATTAAACTTTTTCGCAGACTTCCCAGTTCGATCATTTGGTTTGAGCCGCCCTTGGTGGCGCACTGGATTCCTGAAAGAAATATATGGTCCACGCAGGACGTGCACGACATCAAATACAACGAAGAGAAGCAGACCATCACGTTTAGAACCGGTAGACTGGGCGTTCACGGGCTTGCTGCTTTCAAGTTCATCAACATTCCCTTCCAAAGTTGGGAACTCAAGCCTGAAATGGGTAGAAACGCGCGCGGCGGCGTCGTGCTCAATATATCCGCCGCTATCGTTCAAGCGGAATTTATAGTACGGGTACTCAGTCCTTTCGACACTTTACAACCCTACAATTCGGTCGAGTATTCTATGTTTAGACAATGCGAGCTTAGTGAAACGCAAAGAGCGCAAACTGTGCAGAATTGTTTGATGTACAATTAACGCTACATGATTTTTTTGTGTCTTTTATGTCCATACATGTGAGGGTATTTTTATACCTAGATATAGATATTGATGTATATTATCTTCTCTCCCTTCTAAGACGTGCGCAAGGTAAGATGCAGGTTCATGTGATAATATCCTTTGTTCTCGTAGGAGGACTTGGTGTGCTTAAATTCGCTGGCTGGTAGTATGTCGACGGCGATAAAGGAGATTCTCGGGGAATACATGAAGCTATACTTCCTGGTTGAGGTAAGGACTCTCCACATTTAGCAAACGCTCGGTTTATATCCGCAATAGGACGAATAGTGTGACGCAAAAGATCTCTTTACCAGAAAGATCTCTCTCAAATTCTCGTGTTCGCCGAAGCTAGGTTTCATCCGCGCGAAACTTCTGATGGTTGTCGCTTCTAGACACTGAAATATACTGATGAAAGAAAAAATAACATTTGAGTTTACTGAAACGATGCGTTCTGCTTGTCGTAGAAAATGCGCGACGCCGGATGCGATCTGTTTCCGGAGCGGGACACCTGCAGTTACGTGAAGACTCTCCCGGTGAAGCATCCGGTGATGGAGAAGCACCTGCGAGGCTGCATGGCTTTGCTTTGCATGGCGTACACGTTCTCCTGGTCGCGGTGGAACGCCAGTCGAAATTGCCGCGAAATCATCATACAATTCAAGGAGCTGCACGGATGCCTCGCGAAAGAGGTGCGCTGTTCACGACCGGGTAAAAATGTGCTTTCAAATTCCCGAAGTTTCTCATCTCGCGCATCTCGTTTCCTTACAGCAAACGAATGCGACTCTCTTGGTAACTCCCTCCCGAACAATGGCGGTAGCTTGCACCGAAGTGAGCTCCGAGTTCTCTGACACGCCCTTGGATGGTGACAAATCGAAGGTAAACAGCTGTTCGATGCAGATAAATATTGAGAGCTTGCAACAGTTCGTCGGGGATTTTCAGCCATATTTTTCTTTTATCAACATGCCCAGTGGCGAACTACTTTTCTGTAATTTGTCATCCACGCCACGTGAGTCATCGGTTATTATATTTATTAAAGTCGCGTGTTATTATATTTATTAAATATCCTGTATGTCTCGCATAATACCTATAAAAGTATTTCATAAATATCAAAATATACACGACAAGATGCGAGAACGAACGTATTGATCAAAATATCTGTCATTGTTTCATGCGCCATTTATCACCATCTCTCATAAAATTATTCGATTTTACGTTTGTAAAATTACATCCTTTGAGCTAGTGAAATCCTCGGCGATCTGGCCAACTTTGGCAAGCCTTTAATCTTTAGTAGTATCGTTAATCCACTGGAACGTTCGATTTAATCACATACTTACCTTATCGTCCAAAATAACGCGAGTTGATTTTGAAAATGTTATTACAATCGTTCACATTGAAGAGCAGAACTATACTTTGACTTTATCAGAAGCGCGAGGAAGAAATTATAGTGCCTTCTAAAGAACACTATACAAATACTAAAGACTAGTTGAAAGCAAGAAAAACTGAATAATGTGTCCCTTTCGTAATAGTTCTACGCCGATCTATACAACCTGGCGTTACAAAACGCCGGTGTAAAGACACGACTTTTGATCAAGAGCGTCTCCTTCAAGCTAGTCAGCACTGTCGTCGAACTCCTCGGTCGCACTAACGTGATCAACATGTCATCTTGAGAAATTAAGTAGAAAAGCACACCAGTCTTGACCAACCTTTCGTCGGGTCCTCTTATCACGACGTTGTCGATACGGATTTACTTTACGATCGACTATCAACTAGCTCTATGGTGAACTAAATCGCGAATTATATTGTCAATGGAGAAAGGCAGTACCACCACTACCACTGGTTGCGTCACAAAATGTATTTTTCATTGACAGCTTGTCCCTCTAAAACGCAAGAAACACCGCGAAAACATCGTTGCGTAATCATAATCGCGTTTATTATTAATTCCTCAGTGAATTAACATGTTGTTGGATCACTGGTCACTCAATCGGCTTAACTCTGTACTCGGGCAATCGCGGCCAAACATATAATTAAGTAGTACATGATACAATACCGTTTATCAAAATGGTAATGTAATGTATATACGCCGTAAGTCTTCGTTTATATATTATGAGATACGGTCGTCAAATTCTCTCCTTTTCTATTTTCTTATGTTTTTTTTCTTTTTTCTCTCTTCGCTATATCGTCACATTGCGAACAATTCATTATACGCAGCAAAAATATCGTCTTCTGGATCCACGCTATCGCGTCAAGCTTCGTTTCGCTTTTCTCTTCTGGAGCTACTATCGTCTATCTGGGAGAATTGCGTGAGTAAAATGTTAAATAACGCCGCTGGGTGTGTCGAAGCAACGACACCACACATTGTCCCTTTTCTCGCTCTACTATACAGTCTGTATGCGTATAAATCAGATGCAAAAATACTGATGGTCGTAATAAAATTATCTGTCGAATATAAATACCGTTGCGTTGATTCGTTCGTCTACTTGGCTTTCCCCTAGGAGTCTTATTTTAATCAAAAATATTTAATCGCTCGTACGCGTGTAGAAACTGATCACCAAGAAAAATAATCACTCTCGTCGAAACTTTCTTTCCGATTCAGACATCTATTTTTCATGTAAGAGAGAGATACGCCTGACAATCGGATTATCATAATAAATAATTGCGCAATGAAATCGCGCGTAAAGGATGTCTGCTGATCGATTCTTAGAGTTAAATCGTTGAAAGCGTTTGCCGTATCTTTCTCTTTTCCCTCCTGTTCATTCTTTTTTAGAACAGATTTTCGGTTCTAAGAATAAAATAATGATTTCGAATTCTTTAGGTATACTTTGCGAACGTAATTCTGATTATCCGTCTATCGAGATAATCTTTTTATTTCTCTCCGATATGATAGAACTCTGTGAGAAACGCAACATGACAGAATCTCTCGTTATGGCCTTCAATGTTCACGAAAACAATATTCAAAGGTAACCAGCTTCGCAGCGTACAATAATATGCATACATGCAACGCTAATGTCTGATCAACACGCACGCGCGCGCGCGTGTCCAATAAAAAAATAGCCGAAATGTATCCGACAGCCATAAAGCGAATTCGATGATCGCGCGAATCCTGTGAGTCTAACAGATCCTCCCGAGACTCTGCGTACTTTGTGTGCAATACGGAACATTCCTTACTTTCACGCACTGAACAACTTATCATTTTGCTGCACGTGAGGCACGTGATCGCAGAATTGTTCAAAGATATTCGCTCCACATCACAAAAGATTGACTCGCGTCACGAAATGACAACTCCTCTTATTCATTTCAACGCGACAACGTCAAATGAGAAACTAATTGATTGACACAGTCGTAGGGTACACCGTGAAGGTATCGGTTTCATTTGATCTTTACAGATAAGAAGATGCACAGCGAAAAGTACGCCTAGAAAATCTACGATAATTCGCAAACAACTCGTAGCTCAAGCGTCGTAGCTGTCGCTCGAATACTTGTATTTACATCGTATTCATATTGCGCACGCGATACATCTCGGGCCGACATATGCACTCTATGTGTGCGTGACTATCGCAAGAAAAGAATAATGACTATTAGCTACGAGAAATTAATTGTGCCTAACTTGCGACTGCGCCAAATGAAACGCTACTCCTCGGGCTGCTAAACCCGTCTGGAACATGCACGTCACTAAAAGAGCAATCAGGTCTCAGGAGGATGTACACAAAACGCGACTCGGATTTCAAGAATAGAATCTTTATATCTCCTTCCTCTTTTCTTCTTGTTTTCTCTCGTTTCTTCCTTCTCCCTTTGTCTCTTGTTAAACAGCGTTAACTCGCGCACGTCAATTATCTCGCGCGCTTCTGAAGCAACACAGACGGATCGTATAAGCTATTAAAATACAATATGTTCGAGTCTCCGTATCGACTCCGCTGAGCCGCTGCTTAGCACGTTACACGATGCGTTTTCGCTGATCCGCACGCGGAAAGTCGATCACTCCACTATCTTTCGGCGTGTCTACATAATTGTGTGCATCGACTTAACACTTATGATATATAATATATACATGTATGCAGGGATATGTTGCTGGTTCACTGTCGCAGAGTGCACCGTGTGACGAGAAATAAAAGGAACCGCGAATGGGTAGTGCTGATCCACACACCCATCTTTGTCCGTCCTCTCAACGTAACGCAAATGCGCTGTGCGTTAAGGTTGTACGTTTCGGTTGTTATCTGAACGCGATTGTGATTAAAGCTAGAAACACACGACGCGCGATTTCATGCCTTCTGACATGCATGCTAACCAGTAGCTGTATAGCCCGCTGCAAAGGTATCTTTCAATACACGACAGTATCTGACACTATCCCGATTATTCGAATAACGGATAAAAATTATGCCTCAAATTCAAGTTATTCGCAAATCCTTTGAAATACGTACTGAAAAAAGAAAGTGGTTGAAATGATGACACTTTGCTCGAATGAATAAAATTCGTTCAAGCAATGGTGTTTAGTCGATTGAACGAAGTATATAGTTGTTGTGATAAGAATTAGATTCAGTGATTGATTCAGTGATTGCGACTTGGTCAGGAAGTCCCGTATCTAAACAGTCGTTTAAAATTTGAAATTTCTCTAGTAAAATAGTAAAAATAGTCAGATTTGAGTTCAGTGCTAGATGAAAGTTTTTTAAAACGCGATTACAGATGTGTAATGTCACATATATTATACAATTCAATTGAAAAATTTAAATCTAACTCTGAGGAAAAATCTGAGTACTTACATGAAACAAGTCTCAAGCGACAACTATTAATACGAACCTATCTCTATCAACGTGACTTATTGTTGTACTAACGAGTAATTTATTTAATAGATACAATATTTCTTTGAAGATAGGTGATCGCTGATTTTGTCAATCCAACTGCTTTCTTTTTTGTCAATGCACAAATAGTTGAAGCGTCGGATTCAGATTCGGATCTAAATTTAAGTTCACGGCGGAGTCGATCGGAGACATAGCGACCTATATTCCTCTCGAACATTTGACAATGAATAAACCGATATCTTTAATCTGCTATATCACGACTTAACCTAAGATGATTGCCAGAGTCCTACATCATTGATTGCCAAATGTTTAAGAAAGTTCTAGATTGTTACAATTCCGGCCGACTGCGTCGTGAACTGAAATGCCGATTCGGATTCGAGGTTTTAATTGCTCGTGTATTTCGAAAGATTCGCGGATCCACAGACCCTCGCGGGTAATCTGAATAATGCAGGAATAATGCGAGGTTTCGGATCGGATCCGATCTTGGATATCCGGATAGCTATTTATCCGAATATTTGGAAGCTCTGGCAAAAAGGTATGAAATCGTGCATGTAATTCTAGTTTAACGAGTCATCCAACAAGGGTACATTTTAGAGTTTCGACGTTCCAAAGTGAATTTATGAGAAAACTCGAAAACCAATTCGAACAGAACGCAAAAGAGAGGAGCTCCGATTTGCTAGTCTAGGTGTAACCAATGTGAACGAGCACTTTCTTCCGGCCTCACTGTGGGTGACTCAGATAACCGTTTCGCTTAGGCATTATGATCTTTCAAGAATCACGTGTTTTTCATCAAGCGACACTCGACGCTTTGCACTCGGCGAGCCGCTCTAACAATCGAGGTATCGAAGGACTGCTCTTTCAATCTCGCAAACTGAATTTCCAGGGAACGTACAGATAACAAGGTCACATCCTTCGGTTAATTTTACCTCGATAATTTCACTTTAAAGTGAAATAGCGCTTTGGGGCTCGCTTTGAAACGCGCATGACTGAAAATCGACAAGCCGCAACATACTGTAATTTCTTCTCAACTTCTCCGTTAGGGAAAATAGACTTCGAATCGGTTTATACCGATTTTACGTGATTTTACGCGTCTCTTTTCGCTTCAATGTCGCTCAAATGGCATCGCAAAGGATTCGACAAATGGGAAAGTAAAAAACAGTTCGGCGAGTGCAAAGGATCGAAGGGCGAGTCCCTGATTCCCGGGCTCGATAGCAAAATATGCACATCTCGGAAAGAATGTCGTGCAACAGCGAACCACTGTCGGAAGGTAGAATGACTCCTTTATTAATATCTAGTACGAATCGCGGTACATTTTCTCCAGCTTCTTTTGCTTTCTCCTCCTCCTCTTCTCTTACGTGTTTTTTTGTTTCTTTTTCTTTCGTTTGAAATCATCAGTTTTGACATCGTCACGTGCATGAAACTGCATCTTTAAGCTGCTTACAATTGAGGTAATCCATGATATAAGGCCCACGTCACTTTCCGCATCAGACTATCGCACATTCTCTCTATTCGCTAAGTGATACTTCTCTCTTTCTCTCTTTCTCTCTCTCTCTCTCTCTCTCTCTCTCTCTCTCGCTCTCTCGCTCTCTCTCTCTTTCTCTCGTTACTCCATCCTTCGCTTCATTCACCCTTAAATACTTAGAATTAATATATTTTGCAAGCCTGCGCAACATAAAGTTGAACATCGAACATCGAACGTCTCCGTGGCATTCTCGCCGCCGCAATCGCTTCACCGTTTTGCACGTCCTCCCAGTTTATCCTCAGCTAGATTAACACTATGGCTACGCTTCGACATATATGTATCACGATACGGATTAGTAATACCTAACACACACACGACATTTCACTTTACTTCACTAAGTACTTAAACGTTATACACGTTCAACCCAGTCTATAACGAACGTTAAAACCATGGTAATCGAAGGATCAGGGCCGATGAACGAAAATGTGTGACTGCAATCGGGAGAAGAAACGACAGACGCATTATCGGGATCACATCTGAGAGGAAGATGGAGAGAGTTCACGAGTAATTCGTCGCGGAGGATAATTGTGCCTGCGACAAAGAACGAGGCGAAATAATAGAG